AGTTCTACACTCAGGATTTTTCCACAGGAGAATAGCCTAGTGGATTAAAGCACTGGTCTGTGAATCTTTGTGACTTTAGAAATTCATAAAGCAAAGTTTAATCCACATTTATCATAAGACAGAACAAGAGGAGATATCTCAAGATCTGGATAGTAGAACTAGAAAATCTATGAATACGTATTTTAATATAAAATTATGACATTAAAATGTTTATTTGATATGTATTCAGTGAATATTTTAATGTAGTTCATATATATATATATATATATATATATATATATATATATATATATATATATATATCAATAGGTGTTGTTGTTTATGTTAATATGTAGTATTATTCACCCAATATAAAGCCCAAGAGCCAGTCAAGGTAAAGATTACTGAATGGGGAATGTTGCAAAGGCACTTTCTTGCTAAATATTCTGTTGCCCTTGACATGTATTAAATTATATAATTTTACATTTTTTTTTTTTTAAGCGTTTCACCCCAAGCAAGGCAGGAAGCCACTAGGATGCAAGGGGTTACAGGAAATAGCAAGATCAGATAGGAGTGATAGAAGAAAGGATGAGGGTAGTGGATAGATTAAGGCAACTGGAGATGTCGATTAACATTACACTTGAATAGCTGGAGATTATAGCTCACAGGGACATAGGAGAAGGGAAGCGAGTTCCACAGGCAAGAGGTGCGAGACACGAAGCTATTAGAGTAGAAGAGACGGCTACATTTAGGAGTTTCGACAGTGAAGGGGTGAGAGCGGGATTCCAGTCTCGTAGGGCGCTGGAACTCATAGTGTTTTTATATATATATATATATATATATATATATATATATATATATATAAGTTATGAATTTTTTCCTTTACTTTATTTCCTTTCCTCACTGTTTCTATATATCACTTCCTTTTTCTTTTACCCCATAAATAGGTCAAGGTTAGGTCACTCCTCCTACCCCAATTGAAGGCTTATTTAAGAGAGATGTAAATTACACTACCCATCAATTTCTAATCACATTTTTCCTCTCATTTCATTGTTGGAAGTGTTATTTGATGATCCAAAACTTTAAAAGGATTTTGGTGAAAGAAATTATTGTAATAGTACCTTAAAGTGTCTGTTGTTCATTAAATATATATATATATATATATATATATATATATATAGATATATATTCTTATCACGATGTGGGATATTTAATAAGAAAGATAATGGAAACAAAAGAAAGAATCTGGGTGAAATTGTCTTGATTGCATTACAAAAATTTATTTCTGAATTTTGAAACACCCAGTATTTCTTGACTGGGTGCATGTTAAGTCACAACATAAATAAATCTTTTTTCTTTCAATATATATATATATATATATATGTGTGTGTGTGTGTGTGTGTGTGTGTGTGTGTGTGTGTGTGTGTGTTATAAAAGGTATATAACAAAGTGGGAAAAAGTTTTGTGTGAAGAGCTTCATGGACTTTTGGACGTCATTGGACTAAATTTTTTACATTGGCATGACTGCACATGCGCATGAAGAAACAATTTTCTTTCCATCACATTTGTTAGCATGTATCCCACACTGTGATAAAAGAAGATCTGCCAGAAATGGTGAAATGTTGTATGTAATTTACTGTCGATAATCTTATGATCAAGTAACTCCATAAACATTTTTATTTTATTGAATTATTTCCTCTTTTGATCAAAGTAGCATTATTTTATGTCAAAATTGTAGTCAGTTTCATTATGGTGAGCAGCTAATGCATTTGATGTATTCTTTTGTAAGATGTTTCTTTTGTGTTCATATAATCTTTTATTTAGATTTCTTAAGGTTTCCCCTGTGTACTTTATGTGACAATTATTACAGGCAATACAGTAAATTCCTCCTTCAAGTTTTAGTTTATTATTTTGTTTAATATTGAGTAAGACTTTTATTGTTTTAGATGTATATAACACATTTTATGTTGAGTTTGGATATATTCTTTTCAATTGTTAGGACATATTAAACATGTATAAAAAAGGGATTGCTGCCTAAATTCACAATATGAATTTAATTTTGTAATTAAATTAAAGACATTAGTTCCATTTCATCCTCAAGCAAATTTTGGAGTAACTTTTAAAATTACTGGGTTTTAAGCACACAGCTAAAATCATAATTCACGTTTCCAAGGTTACAGATAAATCCACTTCCACTAGACAAGGGGTGTCTAGTAGTCTATTTTATAAATATATATATATTTTATCGGGTTGCTGAAGGTAATATCAATCAGCTAATTGACAAACATTTACTCATATTAATCCTATATATGTGTGTGTGTGTGTATATGAGTGGGTGGGTGTGTGTGTTCATGCGTGTGTGTGTGTATATATATATATATATATATATATATATATATATATCTGTAAGTTAAAATAAAATTTTAAATTCAAAAATTTTAAAACAGTATTTATTTCTAGTCTTCCCATTCCCTTATCTGCCATGTACATATGCTCATTAGGTAAGTTACACACTCCTTCTTTCCGTTCATCTTGCCTCTAATATGTCCTGATTGTGACAAGTTACCCATGCACTTTTTCTCATTAACTGTCTCTTAAATTTCAATTGACTCTCTCTACTTCTATATATAAGTATCTTTTTTCCATTTTCCTTAAAATTTTCCCCACTGTCACTGGTATTCTCATCATCCTTCTGTAGAACGGACTCTGTTACTTCAACTCCCTTTTTCTCTGTCCATGGCAAACAGTTAATTTTTCTTCTTAGTTTTCATATAAATATTATATATAAAACAGTGCACCATGAGTGCTGGTGGTAATGAAACAGTTTTCAGTGTAAAATAACAGAGCTAACATTTATACTAAAAATAAGTGCATTTGGTCCTCACCATTTGATGAAACACAGAGTTGTATAGAACAGTGGGGAAACAAACGTATTTATTTTTAGTATATATACTACCAGCAAAATGCTTGAGGCCACTTTGCATGTCTTTAAATAACATCTTAAAATGAGATATTTTTTTAAAGTAAAAGATAAAATTTCACTAACTACAGTGTATTTGCTTTTATTATCTGCCTTCATTACTCCTTTACAAATTCTTGGTATTCTTTCCAACAGTTTTTTTTAAAAAGTAGACAGGAGACCTTCCCAAGTATTCTTCAAGCAATGAAAAAGCTCACTCTTTTGATATTCTCTTCAAGCTCTCCTAATCAGTTCATGCATACTAATTCAATGGGAGAAAGATCAGGAGAGCGAGGCAGTCAAGTTATAATTTCCAAAATTTTGTTCCTTTTCTTTGACTCTAAGTATTTTTTATATAATTTAGAAGAGTGTTTGGATCATTGCCTTCTTGAAAGGTGAAATTTTCCTAATTATGTGTAAACAAAATGTTATAGCATATCTTTGCAAAATTGAATGACACTTTTTTTGTTTTTTTCCATGTTTCTCTTAATCTGAGTCAAATCTGCCCTTTTGGTAATCGCAAAATTTCTACCAAGGAGATAATGGTGAAAACAAAATATAACGTTTCACATAAAAAACAATAATAATTCAACAAAATGTATAGAGGATAGACTAATCCAAATTGAACATTTCAGTAATAAAAGGTGCTTGGAGGAAGACTAAAAAATAAAAGCAAATACACTGTAGTTACTAAAATTTAATCTTTTATTTTAAAAAATAGTGGTAATGAAACAGGGCTCAATGTAAAATAACAGATGTAAAGTTAATACTAAAAATAACTGTACATTTGCTTTTAGTATATATATATATATATATATCTATATATATATGAAAAAACAAACAAAAATCCTTATATACAATTATGCTGTTTTAATGTTAATATGTCAATGTCGGATGTTTCGGTCTAATAAACCATCTTCAGGACATATTCATAAATTATAACATTATCAATACAACATGACAATATGAATATGTCCTGAAGATGGTTTATTAGACCGAAACATCCGACGTTGACATATTAACATTAAATCAGCATAATTGTATATAAGGATTTTTGTTTGTTTTTTCCGTATATATTTTTCTTCATACCATCGGATCTATATCCATATATTTGCTTACATATATATATATATATATATATATATATAATGGGAAAATATATGTAATCATATCTGAAGTCCTAAAGGTTAAACACATTACACCAAATATTTTTTAAAGTTCTTGTCTTTTCCAATGGTTTGTAGCTTTGTTACTGCTGCCATTGTTTGTACTGCTCTTAAAATTATTTCTATTCTGGAGTGTATTACTACTTTAACAAGTTCTAGTTTATTAGGCTACTTTACAACTGTTGCTTTGCTAATCCTTGTAAATATTTAGAGACATTTCCCATAGCACAAGGGTTAGGTAGACAATCTTGTAGAACATTAATACTGTCATGATAACCCAGGAAAGTTTCCATAATATTATAAAGTGAATTTACTCAAAAGAAAATCTGTGCTGAAATCAATGTCCTTGTGCCAGTCATAAAAACAAGGAAAATGTTCACCATTTTGTTATACATATAGCATAAAGCATACAAAGAAAGGGATCAATCATTCTCAATCATCTCCTCATCATTCTGCCCCCTCTCGGTGCCATTGTCTTATCAAGAGCCAAAACAAACAGAAATCTATTCCATTTCTCTTCCAGTCCCGAGCCTCAACTCCTGTAACTTGAAGAAACATGCCTCATCCCTTTGCCACCATAGCCTGTTTAACGTGACGCAGACAAATGGTCTAATTTTCAAGACACCAACCACAATCCGATTTGAATAATTTATTTCTGTTTAAAATATATATTCCCATTTGGTTGAGTTAATAAGATTATCTTTATATGAGAGTCCATTCTACATTCTTCTATTACAAAGTAAAACAGAATACAGTTCTTTCATGGACAGGCAGACAAATGAATTTTCTCTTGTGTGGAGAACATGCCTGGCACGTTTGTCAGCATTTGTCTAATCTTTTGGTTTTCTGTCCTCTTTCACTCTATTGTGCCACCTTTCTGGTATCCTTGGCCTTACTGTTTCCAAGAAGCCTAGCAGTGTCTTCATCTTCCAGAGATTCAATATATTCATTAAGAAGAGAGAGAAGACAAAAGAGATATTTCAAAGAAAAATGGCTGACTACAAAAAAAAAAAAAATATAATAATGAAGAATTATGGGAAGAAGCCTGAGGAAAATAAAAGCTTGTAAAATATGGGTTATTTTTTCCTGTGCTACTCTTTTTCCAAAGAATAAAAAGAATTGTAAAAACTATATATCAATATATATCTATATGTATCTATCTATCTATCTATATCTATCTATATATATATATATATATATATATATATATATATATACATGAAAAATTTCTCAGAGTTAACCTGTAGAAAAAGACAATATTTATAAATGTAAAAGACAATAGGAAAACTGTAATATTAGCTGACATGTTTCATCGAAAGTGGATTTTTCAAAGCAAAAATGAAATAAATTTATTAAACAAAGTAACTAATAATAACAAAATTCTTCCAGTTGCTAAGGACATATTGTTTTGTTATTATGAAAAAGTCCACTTTGGGTGAAACGTTGGCTAATATTACAGTTTTCTTATTGTCTTTTTATATATATATATATATATATATATATATATATATGTAAGGGATGCATGGTATATGTGTTTTGTATGAGAATATCATTTTATTTATTTCCAATGTAAGTGTGGGTGCGTCTCCCAAGCTGGAAAAAAATACGGTACTTTTTAACCTCAAAGTATACCAAAATTTTAAGACGCTGTTTTTTAACACACACAGACACGCACTCATACTGATCAAATCATCTGAAATACATCTGACTGTTGACAACAACTAAAATTACTAAACTTCGTAATTTATTAAACAATATATATATATATATATATATATATATATATATATATATATATAATTGTCTTTGAAACGTGTTGGCTAATATTACAGTTTTCTTATTGTCTTTATATATATATATATATATATATATATATATATATATATATATATATGGGGGACGTGCGTGTATTTATTTCAAAAACGTTAATTTTAGTAGGTTCGCGTATTTTAGTTACTGTCCTTATATGATATATGGAATTCAGAGTTGTCCTTCTCCTAGACCAGTTGCCATCCAAGGCTATAGAACCCAGTCTGTCCTGCTATTTTACCCATAGCTGGAGGGAGATGACGAGGATACATACCTTTCCCAAGGGTATTAGCACGTAAGTGAATGCGGTGGATTCGATTGAATTTAAACTGCCATGTATTCCTCCTGCCTCCTTTTATTTTTTATATATATATATATATATATATATATATATATATATATATATATATATATATATATATATATATCTTAAAACATCTTGTTATATATTTATGAATATATTTAATATTCATCTTCTTTCAGACTGAAGGTTTTAGAAAAAATTAGATTTCTAAAACCTTCAGTCTGAAGAGAGGAATATTTAAATATATTCAATGAAATAAATTATAACCAACATGAACTTTTAAGGATTTTTTTGACTTATTATTATAATATTGTCTGTAACTTATGTGTCAGCTCTTTTGGATAAATTTCCCCCTTGGAATTATCCCTATCAATTACCAATTATGTATTATTGTATATATATATATATATATATATATATATATATATATATAATTGTGTATTTGGGCATCATTCTCTCTTTTATACAAGTTTTTCATTAAAGATGACTGATAATGCACTGTGATTTAGGTTTTTATTAAATTTTTCTTGCATTCAAAAAAGTGATTTCTTTTCTGGACATAGTGTGCAAAAACTGTCCAAATGATCTGTAGATCCAAAATCTTTTGGCTAATCTATTACCCATTATCTAAGATGTTTTTGTTTTTTTGTCTAATTTGATATTTATTTTTTTTAATTTCTATGTATATATGTTTTTAATTTCTCAACATGGTCAACATGTTGTGGCCATGTTCATAATTGTCATCACTTAGAGTCTATTTCTTTATTTACACTTCCAATACTTTTAACCTGTGGTTTAGTTTATTATGACTATATTTTATACACGTATCAATACACAGGGTGTATCAAAAATATGTTTACAAATTTTGTGGGTAGGCTCCTCACACCAAAACATATATATATATATATATATATATATATATACACACACACACACACACACACATGCACACAAAAGGAAAACTTATCTTAGCCAACATGTTTCCTCCTTTGTCAAGGGAAATTTAGGGATGTTATCAGGACTCATTTGTCTTGGTAAAGTCCATCAGAGGACCAAACGTGTCAGCTGAAATAAGTTTTCCTTTTTGTCTTTATTCATATTATCTTTCTACAGATATACTGTATCTGAAATTTTTACAAACACATAAATGGGCATCAAGTGCACAGTGGGTTAGTGTTGTGGTAGGATCCACCTAATTTGCATAGTGGAGTACCGACTATATAAATATGGTTGGTACCAGGAAGAAAGGAGCGGAATCAAGAGAGTCAATCCAGAGACTCTGCCCGACTGCGACTCAGTCAACACATTCTCCAGGAACGGTCTTCCCAGGAATATACAAAAGACTATATGTAAATATTGTGTACACTTTCTTGTTTCAATACATTTTGTTCTAAGTACATTTTGTGTTGCATTATTATTCCATACATTAGTTAAGTTTCAACAGTTAGTTGGGCACAAATCTATGAGAAAAACCCACCATGATGCAATTCACTCAGCCAAAAATTGGGAAATGGCATTCTGACTATGTGGCATTTTCACAGGAAGGTTCAATATGAACATTTCAAAATGTTTGGGTGCCAATCTGAGAACTGTGCAGAGGATTTGGAAAGAGTTGGATGGGTTTAATGGTGATTATGAAAGTATGACAACTCGGAAAACTCACTCTGATTGTTCTGATAACAAAAGAACTTCTAAATTTGTTGGTGAGGGACTTAACATGGAGGTCAACATCAAGTGCCTTGAGTGGGTAATGAAACCCTGGGTCAAGAAGGTTAAATGGAAGACTATATCTGACAACAGGACTTTTTGCCATGCCACACAAACAGGAGAACCCAGTCATGGCTGTCAGACAGTTTCTATGACCAAATCACCCCTTACATCTGGCCACCTAACTCCCCAGACTGCAACATCCTTGATTATTATCTGTAGGGTGTAGTTGTGTGAGAGATTAACAAAAATCCTTGTAATACCAAAGATGTTTGTGACAGAACTCACCAACTTAAACAAGGAGATGACCCAGAAGAGTTGCAAGAGATTCTGAAGTTGTCTGGAGGCCATGGTTAAACCCAATGACAATTTTATTGAACAAATATACTCTTTAGTGTTTCTAGATATTTTTGTGCAATTTTGGTAAATATATCTGTTGAAATAAGATGACAGCATTATTTTCATTTTTTGCAATTTAGGCGACAATTTATCCATCGCATATTGTGTATCTATCTATCTATCTATCTATCTATCTATCTATCTATCTATCTATATATATATGTATATATATATATATATATGTATATATATATATATATATATTGCCATCCACAGATAGACTGTTTCGCTGTATCGCAGCTCATCAGTGTGGCTAGACATCCAGTTGCCTCTAGCTAGGATCGAAACCCGACTGAATTGGCGTCAGTTAGGGATCCTACCACTAAGCCGTTGGCGCACGGCAGGAATGAAGGTGAATTTAAGCGTATTTATTTTCCGATAAACACACAGTGACTGAGAGAACTTTGATTTACCAATCACAGTTTACAAACCCACACTTCCTCTCCAGAGAGCTCAACTGAAATAACTTTTTCAGGAGCAGATATATTGTCATCTACATACAGACTGTTTCACTGTATCACAGCTTATCAGTGTGGCTAGACGTCTGGTTGCCTCTAACTTGGATCAAAACCTGACTGAATAGATAGATAGATAGATAGATAGATAAAGATACATATTTTTATCTTTCAAGAACAATATTGTGGTAAAAATGTATAACAATGTGGAAAAAGTTTCTTGTTAGTCATTTTGACCTTTAGGACTCCATCAGACTAAATTTGTTATGTTAGTGCAACTACACATGTGCATGAATGTGGGATGTTAGGAATTTTATATTTAATTTTTTTTTTTTTGTAATCTAGCCGAGATTGCCTTGATTACAAGGTCATCTACCGTCAATTTGCTCTTGGGTTCTTTACAACATATGTACAGGGGTTGGACAAAATAATTGAAACTGTTGCAAAATCCATTTCAATATTTCAAAGACCTATTATATTAAGAACTTTAACTAAAATTTCATAATTGCAGGTTATATCTATTGTAAATACATTTATTTATCTAATTTACTGTCTTATTTATTTTTAGAATTTAGTAAAATTTAAGCTAAATGCGTGACCTCTCTGAGTTCAAAAAAGAGCAAATTGTTAGAGCTCCCATGGCAAGAGCCTCGATCACTAATGTTGCTGAACTGTTTGGTTTTTCAAGAGCTACCATATGAAGAACACTGATGCAATTTGAAAAACAGGGCAAGACCTCTGGCAACTGTAGCAATCTGGGTCAGACTTGCAAACTTACTGACAGGGACTGACGTGCATTGAAATGCAATGTAGCAAAAAATGATCGGACAAATGCGGCCAAAGTGACTACTGAGAGGAATAACCATCTGAATAATTCAGTTTCTACTAAAACTGTTCACCATGTGCTCCATAAGGCGGCATATAATGGAAGAGCTGCTGTGAGGAAACCTCTTCTCTCCACTCGCAACATTCAAAAGAGGTTGAGGTGCTGCAGAGATCACAATGCCTGGTCTGCAGACCAATGGAAGCAAGTCATATTCTCAAACAAGTCCAGTTTTTCTTTTTTCCCAACTTCAGGGCGAGTTTATATGTGGAGGCAGCCCAAAGAAGATTACAACCCTGACTGCTTTCTCCCAACAGTGAAGCATGGAGGTGGATCAGTGATAGTTTGGGCCATCATATCATGGAAATATCTCAGTCCAATAGTTGCCCTGCATGGTAGAATCAACAGCAAAGATTACCTGAACATTTTGGGAGATCATGTTTATTCAATGGCCAAAACTTTATTCCCTGATGGTGATTGCGTCTTCCAAAACAATAATGCTCCAATACATACTACTTGAGTGGTTAAGAATTGGTATGAAGAGCATGAAAGTGAGCTAGAACACATGGAGTTGCCTCCCCTAATCAAGATATCAATATTATTGAACATTTGTGGTGCATTTTGGAGCAACAAGTTAGGAACCGCTATCCTCCACCGTCGTGTCGTAAAGAGCTGGAGAAGGTTTTAATGGAAGAATGACTGGAAATTCCTCTGGATGAAGTCAGGAAGCTGTATGATTCCATTCCTAGACGTATTAAAGCTGTCTGTGAGGCTAAAGGAGGACCAACTTCATATTAAATAAATTTTCTTTGAATTTAACAAGTGTTCCAATTATTTTGTCCAGCCACTGTATATGTAGTTAAATTTCCCAGAAATAATTCTGAAAATAAAAACTAATTGGTTTAAAAGTGGCAATTGAAAAAAATTTTTTCATGATTTTTTAAATTTTCCAATTGGTATTTTTAAACCAATTTGTCTTTATTTTCAGAATTATTTCTGGGAAATTTAACTATGTTGTCGATGTGGAAAACAAAAAACAAACTCTTAGTAAAAAGGAAGTTTCCAATATTAATATCCAGCAAGAGACTTACACAGGAGCATCTTTTTTTAAAATTTTGCATTTCATGTAACTATGGCTACAAAACATTTTGTTTTATTGCTTGCCTTGATAGAGTTGGAAGACAAAACATGTTGGCATAACTAATATTTTTTCCAATTGTCATTTTTAAACCTATATATATATGTATGTATGTATGTATGTATGTATTTTTCAGACATTCAGGCCAGTAATTGTTGTTTATACTGTTTATTATAAACAGAGCATTTACTTAAATATTTGTATCTATAAAAAGAATGTAGAAACATAAAAATGTCTGAAAATAATTGTCGGACTTTGTCCATTTCATCGTATGCATGTATATATAAAAAGTAATTAAAAATATTAAAAAATGATGAAAGAAGAAATAATGGTGAAAATAAAAAATATGAAAGAAGAATAGTAATATTTTATGACAGCAAAACCATCAGACTAACCAAAAATAAACAGTTGATCAATAGATCAATAGTTGATTATAGACATTTCAATAGAACCCTAGAATAACACTAACAATAATAAAAATATTCGAACAGTTGAAATACCAAAGAGGAAAGTTCATTAGAATAATTGCTATGAAAATATTTATAAAAAAAACAGAGTTACATTATAGCAGTAGGAAAGTGAGTGAAGCAAAAATGCCAGTTCTGGACAGATAACAATGCTTCTTTGGATTTTGTCAAGAATCTCTAGATACATAGCAGAAACACCACATCAGATTTGGCAGAGCAAATGGTAGACTTATAAAGGTAGAAAATTAGATATCAGTGATGAATGGGATGCGATTGATAGTTGAGTTCTTCATGTAAATAGCCAAGTAAAAGAAGAATGTAGGATACAGATGTAGTAATGTTTTTGGCTTGTATTGTAAGCAATAAAATTTGTTGAGATCAAGAAACAGACAGACAATTATTGCAAGTTCTTGGACAAGACAATATTTTTTTGAGTGGTAATGTTCACAATTGAGAAGTTTTAATTTAAAGAGTTCATTTCTTCAAAATAATTCTTTGTCACCTTTGGCAAAGCTGACTGTTTCCCACTTTTTCAAAAATACTTTCAAAGATACTAGATTGACAGAATGACTTTGCACCCACTCCTAGAGAAAACTTTTGATTCATCATAAACTTGGTGTGATTCCAAAAGAAAAGGGAAAATTGATCTCTATAAGATATGCAACATTCTGATACAAAGACTTTTGAGAAGTTAGGCCACAAGTTTTTTAAGAACTCATAAAAGAACCTATTTTGGATTAAACTCTTTTTCAAATTTTTCTGCTCATTTCATGAAAAATGCACTTATGACGTTTTAGTATTATGCCAATGATAAAAATAATGTATATGTTTAAATGTCATTGCCTTTCTTTTAATTTATTTAAGTCTACAAGAATCAATAAATTTTTAAGACAAGTCAAATGTTACATATTCTGTAGAGCTGTTCTTCATTTCCAGGCTGTCAAATTCTTATTCTCTATGATCTACAGTTTAGGAGATCCTAGAAACCATTATTACTCACCACTGACTTTGATGGGTTTCACATCTTGCCCAATTGCTAGACATGTGCCTACACAAACAAATACACTCACATCTAGCAAGAGACCACATGGACCTCTATGTTGTTGATTCAAGGATCAGCTCAAAAACATTTTGCTGAGGTCAGAAATCTATCTGGTCAATTAGGAGATGGAAGCTATAGAAGGAACCAATTTCAGAAGAGAAGTCCATAAAAAACATTATACTTAGAAAACACCAGAAGACAAACAGAAGAGAAGAAAGCCCAAAGTAAAGCCAGAGTTCTCCATCCATTGAACTCTCCTACCTTGCAGTCTGGTAGTTGTGGACGTCTCTTCAGATCCAACGTAGGACTCATTTCACACAGAGGGAAATGTTGATGAGCACACCCAATACTTGGCAAGAAGATCTGCCAATGACAACAGTTATTCAACCATGAACAAAATGGCAAAAGTATTCTTTACATTATATTCTTGCTGAGTTTACACTTGGAAGAAAAAGCTACTGGAATTGCTTGGGATGTCAACATTTCATTGGGTCACCTAATTGGCAATCTATTAGGTTGGTGCAAAAATAATTTCGTTTTCTAACATATGTTACTATGTAAGAAAACGAAATTATAGTACACTTAAATTCATGAAGTTGATGTAAAAAATAGGATAGCTCCGTAGAAAATTTGCCATGAAAATATTTATAGAAAACATGGAGGGAAGCCATGTCACAATGGTAGGTAGCAACTAATTTTGAGATGCCAAATTAGAAATGATAACATTACAGACTCTTCTTTGAATTTTGTTGAGATATAGCAGCAATATGCAATGCACAGATGAATAGTAAATGTATAAATTTGGCAATTTACTGACTCATCAGATCTTTTTAATTAATTTTTTTTTAAAAACAACATATTTAATTTTTATAGTTTCCCTAGTAATGGCTACGAGATAATTTAAACATTTAAAAATTATTCAATGAAAAGAAAAAAAGTAAAAGAGAAATTACAAAAACAAATTTGCTGTCCAATTTTATTTTTCATCAGTGAACTCTGACCCCACAGCTCCATCTTCCTCCAAAATGAAAATAAATGAAGACAACACTTGATTGATGTGACAGACATGTAAAGTGCGACTCCACTGGTATAAAAAAGCATCTTGGTTCATGGAGTTGGTTTTGAATTAAAATTTTAATTTTGAAAATAAATTTGGTATGAAAAGTTCATCTGATTGATTAAGGACATGGTACTGACTTTTATTCTCTGTGGAATCAGAGCATTGTCTTGGAGGATTCCTAACCATAATATTCTTACTGGAATATGATTATCAGAACATTTTTGTATCTCTTGATTAGATGCTTGTCTAATGAAATTAACAGCTTTTTGCTTTGAGGCAGCAAAGAAATAATTTACACATTTTGTAAATAAAAACAGAAAAAGTAGTACGTCTTCTTGAAAACATGTATTAACTAAAATAAGATGCAGAGTAATGAGAAATAAGGTTTGGTAACACATCAAATCCAGTCATTACTTTAAAATTATTTTGATTACGTTTCAGATACAAAATAAAAAGTCAGCAGATAAGGATTTTCAAGCAAATATGGGCTTTTTAAAAAGATCTGAATAAAAAAATGTAGTTGCTTAAAAAAGGTAATTGAACCATACTAGGCTATGAAGGTTGCTCTGACAGTCTAAAGTAAGCCAGATCAGATGGGGTTTTACCCTACAAAGGGGGACATATGTTTGG